TCTCCCTGTAGCCCCAGCTGGCCTGGAACTCACTATGTAGAACAGGCTGGCCTTGAACTCACAGAGATCTGCTTGCCTCTGCCTCCCAAGTGCTGGGATTACAGGTGTGTGCCACCACTCCCGATGTGCAGTTTTTTTAATATATGATGGTGCCTTGAAGTCACAGAGCTGTTGTTTATAAGTGGAAGGCCTGAGGCTGGGAATGTAGCTCAGCTGATGGAGAGTGTCTGCCTAGTATTCACAAAGCCCTGGGTTTGATCCCCAGCACTGCATAAACTGGGCATGGTGGCCAAGCACACCTGTAATCCCAACACTTCATCCCGATGTGCAGTTTTTTTAATATATGATGGTGCCTTGAAGTCACAGAGCTGTTGTTTATAAGTGGAAGGCCTGAGGCTGGGAATGTAGCTCAGCTGATGGAGAGTGTCTGCCTAGTATTCACAAAGCCCTGGGTTTGATCCCCAGCACTGCATAAACTGGGCATGGTGGCCAAGCACACCTGTAATCCCAACACTTCAGAGGTAGAGACAAGAGGATCAGAAATTCAAGGTCATTCTTGGCTCCATAGTGAATTTGAGGCCAGCCTGGACTACATCAGACCCTGCTCCCTCTCAAAAAAAGGGAGAACCTGACTTTGACTTTCATTAAGCATGGTTAGTAGTTAATAGCTCCTCTGAAGGTGAAATATCAAGGATGAGAAAGTGCTATCCTTCAAAGAACGTTCCAGACAGATGGGGCTCTGAGCTAGGGTACAGAGTACAGGAATTACACAGAATTAGCATTGACATTTCTTTGGTAGAAAATGATACCTAAAGTACTTATTTATTGTCCACTCTACTCCCTGACAACTGACCCGAAGGTAGAGGGCTGGGGGGTTCTGGGACTCTGGCCTGGGGTGACCTTTGCCTGCTGTGTCCACAGGCATCCCCTGTGAGGGCGGACTGCGGTGCCTCTGCTGGAAGGTGGGTGTGCCTGGGGTGGGGCTTCTGCTCTGCTCTGAGACCCTGTGCTCTTGCACGGCTGCCTCCTCCTGGCCTCTTCCTCCTCTTCTGTCCCTTTTCTTGCTTGTCTAAGGAAGGTTTTCTGGAATTTCTGGGTTTTTCTATCTCTTGGCATCCCTTGCAGGATCACTGTGGGGATGGGCCACTCTGTAATGCCAATAAAGATTTCTACTTCCTGGGGTATCAGGGCAACAGAAGTGATGCTTGTTGGGACAAAGCAAAGGCCATGTTCTGCCTGAAGCTACTAGCTGAGGTGGCAGCCCCTGTCCCGGTTCCCAGTCCACGTTTTCTTCTCGAATAGAAGAGTAGGAAAAGTAGGGGAAAGGGCTGGGATAAGGGGGGAGGCAAGTTGGGAGAACACAAAACCCTCCTAGCTAGGCCTGTGCTGTTGGGACTCAGCCATCTTGTTGACTCTGGATTTCATGAAACTTCTGAGGCACATGTGCCTCCACTGCTGTCCAGGGTTGGGGCGGGGGGCGGGTCACCAGAGCTGTGCTGTTGTCTACAGATCCTCTTGAACTACCTCCCCTTGGAGAGAGCTTCATGGACTTCTATCCTGGCCAAGCAGAGGTGAGACGTGGGAGCAGGTGGAGGGCCTCCGTCTTCCTCTGGGCAGGCTTTCTGGACTCTCCCCTCCTTTCTCTTCTCCCTCCCTCTTTTCTGCAGGGGGCTCTATTCGCAGTTCCTGAGGGAAATGATTATCCAGCCTGGCATCGCCAAGGCCAACATGGGTGTATCCAGAGAGGATGTGACCTTTGAGGACCATGTGAGTAGGGTTGGCAGCTGGGCTGAGGATGCACATGGGGAAGGAAGGGCACTGGATTAGGCAAGGTCCCCCTTGCTAGAGGGTAGGTGCACCCTGGCCCCATTCCTGTGTTCCTCTTTCTGCATTGGTTACCCACCCCCTGAAAACAGTGATGTTTCTTTAATTTATTCTAGGCACAGCTTAAATGCAGGGGCCCTGGGTGAAGTTAGTACAGAAGCAGTAACCATTGTCCTGAGTGCTGTGTGGGCAGTCCTGCTCCAGGCACTCTGCAGGCCTGGTCTCTGTAACCCTCGCCTTCAGGCCTTTTTTTGTTTGTTTTTTGAAACAGGGTCATAAGTATCCTAGGCTGACCTGGAACTCACTATATAGCCAAGAGTGCTATTAATCTCTTTTTTTTGAGACAGAGTCTCTAACCCAGGCTGGCTTTGAACTTGCTACATACCAGAGGGTGGTTTTGAACTTTTTTTTTGTTTATTTTCTTTTTATTTTATGTGTACAAGTGTATTACCTGAATGTATGTGAGTGCATCTGTGTTGTGCAGTGCCATGGAGGTCAGAAGAGGGCTTTGGATTCCCCTGGAACTGGAGTTAAGAATGGTTTGTAGCTGCCATGTGGGTGCTGGGAATCGAACCCAGGTCCTCTGCAAGAGCAGTCAGTGCTCTTAACCGCTGAGCCATCTCTCTAGCCCCTTGAACTTCTAATCCTTCTGCCTCCACCTCTCCAGTGCTGAGATTACATATGTGTGCCACCATGCCTGGTTTGAACTCTGTTTGAGACAGGGTCTTACTATATAGCTCTGGCTGTCCTGGAACTCACTATGTAGACCAGACTGACCTTGAACTCACAGAAATGTGCCTACCTCTGCCTCCCAAATCCTGGGATTAAAATTGTGCATCACTATCCCCAGCCCTGGTTGAATTTTTTTTTTTAAGTGTTTTGCCTACATTCATGTAAGTTTACCATGTGTGTGCAGTGCCCACAGAGGCCAGGAGAGGGCATCATATCCCCCTGGAACTGGAGTTACAGTTATTAGATACCCTGTGGGTATTGGGAACCAAACCAGGGCTGTCTGCAAGAGCAGCCAGTGCTCTTAAACCCTGAGCCATCTGACAAGCCCCTGATTTGAACTTTTTTTTTTTTTTTTTGGTCTTTTTGAGACAGGGTTTCCCCTGTAGCCCCAGCTAACCTGGAACTCACCATGTAGACCAAGCTAGCCTTGAACTCACAGAGATCCACCTGCCTCTGCCTCCCAAGTGCTGGAATTAAAGGCATGCACCACCATGCCTCGCTTTATTTGAATTTTTTTTTTTTTTGGTCTTTTTGAGACAGGGTCTCTCTGTAGCCCCAGCTGGCCTGGAACTCACTATGTAGACCAGGCTGGCCTTGAACTTGCAGAGATCCGCTTGCCTCTGCCTCCTGAGTGCTGGTATTAAAGGTGTGCGCCACCACACCCAGCATGAAAGTGTCTGTCTGAGGCCTGCAGAGCAGGTAGCCAACCTGGTAGCACTGGTAGCCAACCATATAACATTGATTCAGTCACGCACCCTTTCAACAACACACTCAGTAGTTGCTGTGTGCAAAGTTCAGGCCCTGGGGCCCTGGAGAACAGGATGGGTTCAGAGCAGACTCAGACACTCTGATGGCTCTGTGCTCTGAGGTATCTGTCCATCGTCTGGGAGGCATTGGGAACTTGTCTCCAGTCCTGAGCTGGGTCTGTAGAGATTGCTGTGAGGCTGCTGGGCTCTGCTTTCCCCTGGAGCCTGGCTGGTCCTTGAACAGAGCACCCACTCTTTCCTTCACAGCCCCTCAACCCAAACCCTGACAGCCGGTGGAACACATATTTCAGGGACAATGAGGTGCTGCTGCAGATTGACAAGGATGTCCGGTAAGAGGCTGGTGGGCAGCTGAGGGGTTCTGGCCTCATGGAAAGGCGAAGAGCTCTGGGGCCTGTTTGCCTGGCTTTGGTTGCAGCATCACCACTTAGGTGGCTGTTTGACTTTGGGCAGGTAACTTCTGAATAGGACTGTATCCAGAAGTGGAGGTGAGATGGCTCAGGTGAAGGGCACAGTGTGGTCCTGGGAGTGTTGGGCCAGTCCAGGCATCCTCAGAGACCCTTGAAGTTATCAATAGCCTTTGGAGGAGGGTGCTGGGGGCTAATCCATTCCGCTTGGAGCAGCCTGTGTGACTCCTACAGCACCCAGCCCTTGGACAGACAGGGTAGTCTTGGGTAGTGACTCAGTGGCATTTCCAAGGAGTACCTCAATTCCAGCTGCACTCTCTCAGGTCAGCTGTTTCTCACAGCCATGCTGCCCACGTGAGGCAGGCTGGGGGTTTCCTTGAGGAGACTGAACCCAGCAATAAGCATGCAGTTAGTTGTAGATACCACATGTCTGAAGGAAGAAAAGTTGATGCTCTGAGAGGATAGGACCTATTTTAGAGGGTGACTCAGCATGAGAGGGAGAGGGAGAATGGGAAGCACTAATCTAGTAAAGAGTGTCCTAGGCCTCAGGAACAGCTGGGGGTGTGCCCTGAGCCTCGGGATGAAGCGGAAAGGAAGGTCTTCCTTAGCTTCCTGGGTGCTGCTCCTCTGCCCCCTTCAGGATGGCCTCAGAGGACCTCTGCTTAGGGTGGCAGGCTACAGAAGAAAGCAGCTCCTGCTGTCTGTCTCAGGTGGGTACTGGAGCAGCTCCCTGGAGGTGCTCTAGTTTGAGTCGAGAGCTGTGTCCTGCAGAGGTTCTGGGAAAGAACTCTGGACTTGGGTTGTAGGGCGTGATTGCTGTAAGTCATCATGTTTCTAGAGAGTAGGTTTACTGTGTGCCGAGTGTAGGAGGTCTGAGGAGTACATGTGAACTGCGGCCTATCAGGCTCCGATGCCTCCCTGCTTGCTTCTCCTCTCACTCTGGCTTGTCAGCTGAGGGTGTTCTGCTGTGCAGTGTGCACTTAACCAGCCCGCCCATGGCCAATAGCTGCTGTTAATCTTTATGAATACACACACACAGAGAGACACTTATATATGTATGTGTATGTGTGTATATATAATTTTTTGCTGAGGATTGAATTTAGCAGAGCCTCACCCCTTATTAATATTAGACGTTGTGTGTATGTGTGCGTGTGCGCAGTGGTTGATATTGAACCCGTGCCCTCATGCATGCTAGGTAAGTGTTCTACGTTGAGCTGTGTACATCCTTTGTCTCCTAGACATTTTTTTTTTTTAAGATTTATTTATGACTGGATATGGTGGCGCATGCCCTTAATCCCAGCACTTGGGAGGCAGAGGCAGGTGGATCTCTGTAAGTTTGAGGTCAGCCTGGCCTACATAGTGAGTTCCAGGCCAGCGGGGGCTACAGGGAGACCCTGTCTCAAACAACAACAGAAAAGAACAAGCACACGGGTACTGGAGAGCTGTCTCAGAGGTTACCAGCACTTGCCACTCTTGCAGAGGACCCAGGTTTGGTCCCAGCACCCACATCAAGGAGTTCACAGATTTCTGTAACTCCAGTTCCAGGGGATTTGACACCCTCTTCTGGTCTCTATGGCACATGCATACATGTGGTACACATATAGATTCAGGCACACACATATACAATAAAATAAAATAAATCCTTAAAAAAAACAGAGCCAAGCAAACAGATGTGGGAGTAGCTCAGTGGTAGACTTGCCTAGCATGGACCTAGGTTGAATCCTCAACACTGTAAAATAAATAAAAATAAACTTGTTCCTAAGATGCCTGGGGCAGCCCAGCTGGAACTCTGCCTTTTTCCATTCTAATAGGAGGCTGTGTCCAGATATATCATTCTTCCAGAGAGCCACCGAGTACCCCTGCCTCCTCATCCTGGACCCCCAGAATGAGTTTGAGACCCTTCGTAAGCGAGTGGAGCAGACAACGCTGAAATCCCAGACGGTGGCCCGGAACCGGAGCGGGGTCACGAATGTAAGCCAGCTTGAGCCCTGGGCTCTCTCCTAACAGCCTCTCCCTTCCTGCCTCCCTTGGACCAATGGCCACAGGGCACTGGACTCATGACCATCTGCCCCTGTAGTCACCCAGAACAACTTTGGTCCTACAGGATTATCTGCTGGTGATTCTGAAGGTTGGTGTCCCAGCTGTAGTGAGAATGGAGTGACTAGGGCCCAGCCAGGTCTGGGTACCAGGTCTCTAAAATGACCTTTAGGCCAAGGTGGGAAGGATGGCAGAGAGAGAGCATTCCGAGGGTCACAGAGGGCATGTGCCAGAGTTGACAGGAGAGCACAGCATGTTCAAGGAATGGGGGCTTACATGGCTAGGCAGTGAGATGCCATGGGAAAGTGCTGAAGGATGCCAGAGGGTCAGTGATTTGGAGTGTCCTGAGTAGGCAGCAACTTGATTCAGGTCTCCTTTTATGAAAGGTGACCTTGGGCACGGAAGTTATAGTGAGACAGAGATGGCAGCATTTGTTGAGTCCAGAGCATGGTGCTGGCGTGGATCGGGCAGATCTGAGACACCCAGAGGTGGGATGTGAAGGACTTAAGCTGGGTGAACCCTGCAGAGACTTGAGCCCCAGAATTCAGCAGACCCTGTCACTTCGGACAGGTGCTTCTTCCAAGCAGGTGTCTGACCTTATTCCTCCATTTAGACCCTTGTGCTTTAGGGCCAGGAGCAATGGCTTATTCCCCCAATTGCCTCTGTCCTCCATCAGTGGGAAATCCCTTCTCTGAAGCCTCCAGCTAGTTGGAGGTGGAAGACTGCACAAGCTTGCTTCTTCTAGTTGTTAACTAGTCAGGACCCTTGATAGGGTAGCAGGGCAGATCCAGTAGGCCCTGGTTCCCTGTGCCTGCCAGGCAGGGACCAGCTGGGTTAATCCTGTCGCTATGGTATTTTACCTTTGAACCTGGTCCTGGCAGTCCAGGACCCAACCAGGAGCTTTATCCCTAGGACTCTGAACCTGTGGTGGGGTGGCTTTAGTTAAGGAGGCCTTCTGTGTGACTCCAGGCAAGAGGTAAGGATCTCAGGTTCTGGGCTTTTTTGCTCTTCTATAAACTGGGCTACCCTACCTGGCCATGCAGCTACCAGGACAAAATGAGGTCATAGAGAGGAGGTTCTTGGAAAGCTAGAAGTGCCAGGCATTCCTGGAAGACAGCTTGCTCTAGAGTTTTGGCCCATAGGACTAGAGCTAGCCACTCCAGGTGCAGGTCTCAGGGACGTCACTTACTGGGAAACATCTAATGAGTGAATGAGCCTCAGCTTCCATATCTTGAAAATGGTGTTGATAGCTGGGTGTGGTGGTACAAGCCTGTAGTCTTGAATTAGGAAGATCAGTTCAGAGTCATCCCTAGTTGTGTGGTGAGTGAGAGACTAGCTTAGGCTATGTGATACTCTGTTATATACATACAAAAAGAATTAAAGATTCGGGGCTGGAGAGATGGTTAAGAGCACTGACTGCTCTTGCAGAGGACCCAGGTTCTATTCCCAGCACCCACATGGCGGCTACAAACCGTCCTTAACTCCAGTTCCAGGAGACTCCAAAACCCTCTTCTGACCTCCGGGAGGGGGTGCACTCACATACATGCAGGGAACACACCCATACACATAAACTAAAAAATAATAAATAAAATATTTAAAAAAAAGAATTAAAGATTTGCCTTTAATCCCAGCACTTGGGAGGCAGAGGCAGGTGGATCTCTGTGAGTTGAAGGCCAACCTGGTCTACATAGTTCCAGACCAACTGGGCCTATAGAAAGACCCTGTTTCAAACAGAACATTAAAAAAAAAAAGAATTAAAAGAGTCTGTCTGGCATAGAGAAACACTTGGTAAATGTTACTGAGGTGTGTGTGTATAATACATACACATGTATGTTATATGAGGTGCATGTATAGTGCGTGTATATAACCTGTGTAGAGGTAGTAAGAGAAAGAATTTAATGCCCTGGACTCTCTCTGCTATTAGGGTAACTTCATACTCAGTTTGTGCCTGGGTCTGTTGTATAAGCACCCTAGGCCTAGAGCTCCTGGTTGAGCAGGTCCAGGGCAGAGCCAGGTTCCTGGATCACTATAAAGTTCTTGCGGGGTCTGACATACAGCTGATATTGGGGACTCCTGTTTTTCTTTGTTGTTTTGAAATAGGATCTTATATAGCCCAGGCTGGCCTTGAACTCCTGATCATCCTGCTTCTGCCTTGTGAGGGCTGGGACTGCAGGTGTGCATATCACACCCAGAGACCCCTGTGGTGTTCCATGAGTCTTTTGTAGTTTAACCTCTTCATTTGTCTTTTCATATATGTTTGTCTGTTTTGGTTTTGGAAGAACAGTTATACTTAGTACACTGCAAGAGGGCGGTAGGCTGGGCGGTAACTGCCTGAGCTCTTATGAAGATTTTATTTCCAAGTATTTCAAGCATTCGAACAGGTTGAGTGTGCAGTGCACACCTGTATGCTTTCCAACCCAGCACAGCCATTGTACATCTTGTTGTGTTGCTTTTTCTGTATATCAGAAAGACAGAAGGCTGGTAGGTGGCTCAGCAGTTAAGAGCACTGGCTGCTCTTGTAGAGGACCCAGGTCATAATTCCCAGCACCCACATGGCAAGTAACAACTGTGATAACTCCAGTTCCAGGGGATCTGATGCCCTCTTCTGACCTCCATGGGCATTGCACAGCACAGGTGCACGTGCATATATTCTGGCAATACACTCATACACAAAAAATAAAAATAATTTTAAAAAAGAAAAGAAAGTTTCAGGTGCCAGACCCTCTGTTCCAAGTAGGCATCTCCTGAGAATGCGCTGTTGTCCTACCCAGTACCCAAGAGGATGACATCTAGAGTATCATCTGCTGTCCAGTCCATGACAACTGAGGTCAACTGGGACGTGCTTGCTGTGGGGAGTCACTTCATTGTTTTATCCCAGGGCCCAGGGCATTGCCTATGTCTAGGTTGGGACATTCTGTTTCTTTATAGTCTCATTTGGAGCAGGTCTCCATTTCCCTGCCCACAACTGTGTTCACATTTAAATTTTCTATGTAATTATTCTACTTTATTGATTTGTGTATTATTTGCTTGTTTGAGACAGTGTAACAGTCCTCCTGCTGCGGTCTCCTCCATGCTGGGATTTTTCTTACGGGTGCACCTATGTAACCAGCAGTCAGTCAAGATAAAGACTATTCCCACTCTCCAGAAAGCTCCTTCTCCTTCCCATCAGCCCTTATGTCAGAAGTAACCTCTGTTTATAGCACTCCATACATTTGGTTTTAGCCTAGCCTCTCTCTGTATGTGCCTGCTTCTTGTTTGACAAGATCCTCCATGCCTTATCTTGCCCATAAGCTGGGAAGTTAGGTCAAGTTGGCTTAATGGAACAGTTATGCTCTCCTCTTTTCCACAGATGAGCTCCCCACATAAAAACAACACCTCACAAGCCCTGAACGAATACGAGGTTCTGCCCAATGGCTGTGAGGCCCACTGGGAGGTGGTGGAGCGAATCCTGTTCATCTATGCCAAGCTCAACCCTGGCATCGCTTACGTGCAGGGCATGAACGAGATCGTAGGCCCCCTCTACTACACCTTCGCCACTGACCCCAATAACGAGTGGAAAGGTAGGTGGGCTCTTGTCTGCCAGCATCCCCTGTTGCTGGCTCCCTAGAGAAAGAATGAGACAAGCCAGACTGACAAGCATATCAGGCTCTGAAGCCATATCTCCTTAGGGACCTTCATGCCCTGTCAGATGAAGGATTGTATCCAAGAGCCTTCCCAGCTCTGCCTTCTAGAATGTTGCTGTTCACTGATCTGTTGATGATGTGACTTAACATGGAATAGGTGCACATGGAAAGCTGTAAAGATGTGAAACACCGTCAGGAGAGTGTGTGATGAACTGCTGAGTAATGAGGTGGAGGGATGATGTCCTTAGTCTGGGGTGGACAGTAGCCAGTGATGAAAGGCCCAGTCCAGCCTTGACAGGGGCAGCTCGGTGACACTTAGAAGTGGGGCAGATGCACTGTAGGTAAGAGGTGAAACTCCAGCACGCCTCACTTTCCCGTGTCTGCCCACACTCCACTGTTGCAGAGCACGCTGAGGCTGACACCTTCTTCTGCTTCACCAACCTCATGGCGGAGATCCGGGACAACTTCATCAAGAGCCTGGATGACTCACAATGTGGCATCACCTACAAGATGGAAAAGGTGTATTCCACCTTGAAGGACAAGGACATGGAGCTCTTCCTGAAACTGGTGAGGTTCCCTGTGCCACACAGCCAGCACATGTGGGCTGAGAACGCAGGTCCTGAGCAGCCCAGGCTGCTGCCACCTTGAGTCTGGGGTTGAAAGCGGATGCTACTGATCTGTGTTGACCTGGTGCTCAGGATGCTGGCCTAGCTTCAGACGCTGACACTCTTGCTGTGGGTGGGAGACCTTGTAGCTGACAGCAGAAGCCCAGCAGGGTGGGGGTGGGAAGTGGAGAATGGCCCATTTGTGCCAGGCACAGGCACTGAATGAGGTCAGCTGTTAGCTGCAGTCTCTGAGATGGGAACTATTAATTTGATTATACTTGGGGTAGGGGTGCTGGGATATAACCCAGGGCCTTGCCTATAGGCAAGCACTGTGTCCCCAGGCACCCCCCCCCTTTTTTTTTTTACTTTGAGACATGGTCTCACCAAATTTTCCCAGACTGGCCTTAAACTCCTGATCCTCCTGCCTAGGTCTCTAGAATAGTAGGATTCCAGGCTTGTGCCAACAAGCCTGTTAACCTCATTATGAGATAAAATAGGCCGGGCGTGGTACTCCATGCCTTTAATCCCAGCACTTGGGAGGCAGAGGCAGGTGGATCTCTGTGAGTATGTAGCCTGGTCTACATACCGAGTTCCAGGTCAGCTGGGGCTACAGGGAGACACTATCTCAAAAAGATCCACCAAAAAAAAAAAAAAAAAAAGTAATCTAAAAATAAAATAACATTGAGCTGGTGAGATGATGGCTGGTTGAAGGTGCCTGCCCCCAAGCATGACAACCTGAGTTTGGTCCCTGAGACCCACACACATGGTGGAAGGAAAAGCGACTCTGGCCTCCATGAGCCCACATACACATGGCCTGGTCGCGCACGCCTTTAATCCCAGCACTCTGGAGGCAGAGGCAGGCGGATCTCTGTGAGTTCAAGGCCAGCTTGGTCTACATAGTGAGTTCCAGACCAGCTGGGGCTACAGGGAGACCCCCTTTCAAAAAAACCAAAAAAAAAAAAAAAAAGCAATTAGGCAAGGACTGGAGTGCTATTGCTCATTTCAGAAAGTGGTTCAGTATAAGCTAGGCCTGGTGGCACATGCCTGTGATCACAACACTTAGGAGATAGAGGCTCCAGCCTGGGTTACATAGTAAGTTTAAGCTCAGCTTGCGTGAGAGCCTGTCTAAGCATAACTTTTTTTTTTAATATTTTATTATTTTTATTTCATGTATATGAGTGTATTGCCTGCATGTAAATGAATGCACCCATGTCATGCAATGCCTCGGAGGTCAGAAGAGGGCATCAGATTCCCCTAGAACTGCAGTTAAGGACGGTTTGTAGCTGCCATGTGGGTGCTGGGAATTGAACTCGGGTCCTCTGCAAGAGCAGTCAGTGCTCTTAACTGCTGAGCCATCTCTCCAGCCCTCAGCATAATTTTTTTTTTTTTTTGGTCTTTTTGCGACAGGCTCACCCTGTAGCCCCAGCTGTCCTGGAACTCACTATGTAGACCAGGCTGCCTTGAACTCACAGGGATCTACCTGCCTCTGCCTCCAGAGTGCTGGGATTAAAGGCGTGTGTCACCACGCCCGGTTTCTCAGCATAATTTTTAAAAAGGAAAGGAGAGTTGGCAGTACAGAGTGTACTGCTCTTAAGAGGGTCAGAGTTTGGAGCTCAGCATGCTGGTTGGGAGGCTCTCATCGGCCTTTAACTCCAGTTCCAGGGGACCTGTTGCCCTCTTCTGGCCTCCATGGGCACTGCAGTCACTCGTACAAACAGACACACATATACATAATTAAAGAATAATACAAAATTAAAGAAACAAGGAGACAAAAGCAGAGGAAAAAAATGTAAGAATCTGGTAAGATTGCTCAGTGGGTAAAAGTGCTGGCCTCATAAGTCTGGTACCCTATTCCTGAAAACTTTCCTCTGAATTCCACACACCCCAGAACTCACACAATAACAAAATAAAAGTAGGAAAAAAAAAGGACATATTTTTACATATAGATAAAAACTTTTCGGGGCATGGTGGCACACACCTTCACACCAGCACTTGGGAGGAAGAGGCACATAGATATCTGTGAGTTCAAGGCCAACCTGTTCTACATAGCAAGTTCTAGGCCATCAAGGGCTACATAGTGAGACCCTGTCTTTAAAAAAAATATTTTTATGGGCCAAGGATGTAGCTCAGTTGGTAGAGTGCTTGCCCAGTGTGTACAAAGCCCTGGGTTCCATCCTCAGCACCACGTGACCCAGACATGGTGAGGTGCACCTGTGATCCCAGCATTCAGGAGGTGGATGCAGGAAGGTCAGAAGTCCAACATACTTGGCTACATGAGACCCAGCCTTAAAACATAAAGAATAGGCCAGGCGTGGTAGCGCACACCTTTAATTCCAGCACTCTGGAGGCAGAGGCAGGTGGATCTCTGTGAGTTCAAAGCCAGCCTGGTCTCCATAGTGAGTTCCAGGACAGCTGAGGCTACAGGGAGACACTGTTCCAAAAAGACCAAAAAAAAAAAAAAACATAAAGAATAAAATTTAATAAAAAGTTTGTGGAGGGGCTGGAGAGATGGTTCAGCGGTTAAGAGCACTGACTGCTCTTGCAGAGGACCCGGGTTCGATTCCCAGCACCCACACGGAGACTATGAACCCTTAACTCCAGTTCCAGGGGAATCCCTCTTCTTACCGCAGCATTGCACAACACAGGTGCACTCACATACATGCAGGCAATACACTCATGCACATAAAATTTTTTAAAAAATGTGTAAATAAAAGGATTGAATAATTAAAAAAAAAAGTTTGTGGAAAAGAAAATTATGTATTTATACCTTTTTTTTTTGTCTTTTTGTTTAGACAGGGTCTAGGGTCTCCTTTTAGCCCCAGCTGGCCTGGAACTCGCTATGTAAGATCAGAGAACTCACAGAGATATGCCTGAGTGCTAGGTAGGATTAAAGGCGTGGGCCACCACACCCACCCAGCTCCTTTTTTTTTTTTAATTCATAGTCTCACTATGTAGCCCTGACTGACCTGAAACTCAAATTATGTAGACTCAGAGAATAGCCTTCCTCCCCAAGTCTGGGATTAAAGGCATGCTATAAGTGCACTTTTTTTTTTCTTGGTCTTTTTGAGACAGGGTCTCCTTGTAGCCCCAGCTATCCTAGAACTCACTATGTAGACCAGACTGGCCTTGAACTCATAGATCCGCCTGCCTCTGCCTCCCGAGTGCTGGGATTAAAGGCGTGCACTACCACGCCTGGCCATAAGTGCACATTTTTAAACAAACATCAAATGCCATTTTTGCTGTTTTGTGGCTTGTTTCTTCATGATGTATCCACTATGACTCACAAAGGGTCTGAATCAGCTCACTGTAGGGTTGTTGCATGGTACATGGATTACATAGACTATGCACACATAATGCCTGGTGCTGGTCAGTGTGCATACCCACACATCCAGAGGCTGAAGTGGCTGAGTTGAGCCTCACTTACAATCTGGAGGGCCAATGTGAAAGTCAGGGTTCTTGATGCATCTCGAGAGAAGCAGACGGTCTGGGAACACTGACAGCCAGCAGCAGATACCCCCTTCGTGAAGAGAGGCTATACATGACCTCCATGAGGGCCCTGGGCCAACCCTGGTATCCCTGTGCTCACCCCTGCCTGTCGCACCCCCAGTGCTAGGCCCAGCCACTCTTGATCGGGGCTCACTCCTAGGCTGCGTTTCCTCTATGCAGCTGACACCCCGCTCCTCGCTGTCTCCCCAGCAAGAACAGAACATCAAGCCCCAGTTCTTCGCCTTCCGCTGGCTGACGCTGCTGCTGTCCCAGGAGTTCTTGCTGCCTGATGTCATCCGGATCTGGGACTCCCTCTTTGCTGATGACAACCGCTTTGACTTCCTCCTCCTGGTCTGCTGTGCCATGCTCATGTGAGTCTCCACTCACTCCTTGAGGGGAACTGAGCGGGTGGGGCTGGCATCTTCTGGCTAGAGTCTATGGAATTGTCACCTCTAAGCCACCCTGCTGTGGTGGGAGGTGAGGAAGAAAAAGAAGTACAGGGACAGCCAGCTTGCTCTCGGCCCCAGACCCAGCACCACGGCTGCTTGTTTCTCACAGACTGATCCGGGAGCAGTTGCTGGAAGGGGATTTCACCATCAACATGAGGCTTCTGCAGGTAATAGGCGTTGGAGGGGAAGGTTATTCTCAGCCATTGTGCAGATGCTGTCCATGCTCCACCCTGCATCAGCTGCTGTGGCAAGCTACAGCTTGGGACCACATAGTAGGGATTCAGGGTCCATACTCCATACTCAGTTTCGATCTGAGTTGAGTCCTGGCCTTTCCTGGGTTTGAGTGGTGTGTACCCTTGGCCTCCAGGGCAGGATCAAGGCAGTGGAAGTTGAGAATTGTGCTCAGGCCAGGAAAGTGCAAATCAGAGGGTCTGCGAGCCAGCCTGAGGTTCATGTCTCTGTTCCACTGAGTTTATTATGTGACCCGAGCCAGTGACAGTCTCTCTAGGCTTTAATATCTTCACCAGTGCCGGACCTAGGTTTCCAGTGACCTCAGTAACTAGATCTGTAGGATGGGTATAATCACAGCAACCCTTCCAGGGGCTCCTAAAGAAACTGGAGGACTGAGGCCTACACAGTGCTGACTCAGTACCAGGCTCAGTGTGGGTGCGACTCAGGGCTCCGTGTCAGGAGATGGGAGGGCTGAGGCAGGGGGCCTGGTCCTAAGGCAGGCTGTGAGATTCTTGGGTCTAAGAGGGGTGTAGTGTCAGTGGCATACAGTGTTTCATGCAGGGTGCACTGGGTATCTGGATGCTGTGGTCCCTGCCCCTGGAACACACAGCATGGTGATGGGTCTTAGTGGGGACATTGTGAGTGTGATGGATGGCAGCAACCTGGGGCTGCTTGAGGAGTGTTTTGTCTTTCTTGTACCTAGGATTACCCCATCACAGATGTCTGCCAGATCCTACAGAAAGCCAAGGAACTCCAGGACTCCAAGTGACCTGGTGACAAGAGGCCCAGACTTGGAGGAGCAGCCACATGAACCTGGCTTCTGGGTCACAAAGAATCAGTGGCAAACCAGTCTGAGGGGCGGCTGCAGGCGTGGCCAGTGCCAGGTCTTCCCAGCCTGGCTCCCATAGGCCAGACTGCTCCTCCTGGGGGCTCACTGCTGTGCTCCTTTCCAGCCACTTGGCCCTGGCACCCTCCCTGTGCTTCAGCCCTGGGAGCCTCCACCCAGGTCTCTGAGCAGGACTGGCGTTCCGGAACTGGTTTCCTGGGGCTGGGGACATAGAGGCACAGGAGAAGACTGGCAAGGGTCCGCCCTGCCTCTTCCCAGCAGCTCTTCATCCTTTCCTGCTTTCATCGTCCCCTGGGCGCTGGTCGGGGAGGTGTTTGGCAGATGGGCCAGAAGCCACTTCTGGACACTGGTGCTCACGCTGCATGGGAAAATGACCCCAAAAGAGCTGAGTGACTGCCAGATCTAGGTTCCACCCTCTCTCCCACTGAGCATGTGTTTGCTCATGGCTGGGGTATGTATCCCAGGTGTCTGCACGTGCACACATACAGTCTGGAAGTGGGGTGAGGGTATCTTGGAATCTCTCGGTCCCTGCTTCCCCTTCTGTGTCTCTACCTCTGCCTGTCTCCCTCCTCCTTTCTCAGAGATGTGTGTGTGGCTCTATGTCTCTCCTCTGTCCATTTCTCTCTCTCTCTCTCTCTCCCTCTGCCCTTCTCTCTTGGGGTGCCTTATCCTGAGCCTCTTCCCTTCCTCCTCCCCTCTACTCCCTGAAGCAGGTGGACAAAATGAGGAGTGTGGCTCAGGAAGGCCTCTGAAGGCCAACCTTAGCTTTGGCACCCTCCTCCAATCCCCAGCCTGAGACTCCCAGGTCCCCTAGTCAGGAAGGGACTCCACAGTGCCTCACCAGAGAGCCCTGACCCTGCTCTGCACTTGGAAACCAAATGCTGCTAAGAATGGTAGCCTGTGAAACTTGGAGACCCTTTCCCATGGAATGGAGAGAGAAGTGGGGCGGTCTGTTCAGCTGTTCCCACAAAGGCCCACCCATCTCAGTGGTCGAGGACCTCCAGGCGGTCCTGTACCAGGGAGCTGGATTCCAAGTGTTCAGAAAGTTATCATCCCCTTGATTTCAGCATCCCAGTCCAGGGTGTATAAGCTCCATCAAGGGCAGGGGGACCAAAGGATGCCTCTCTGAGCCCAGGAGGGGCTGAATTCACAGAACTGGGTCCTTTCGGTGCCAGGAGGGTCATGTCTACCCTCTACTTCCGTGAGGGCTGCAGAGGTGCTGGCTTTCCCAGTCATGTGCTTGAACTATCCCCAGGATTTAGGGGATATGCCCTGTACAGGAACCCCTGACTACCAGCTGGGCAAGTAGTGAGCTTATTCTGAGCATGTTCCTTCCCCCTCATGTGGAGGGCCGGTGGTTTGGGTCCTGAAGGTAGACTTGCCAGTGCAAAGACCTCCTCTCTCCGCAGATGGGCCAGCAGAAGCTGGGCTCTAGCAGCTCTCCTTCCTGAGCTCAGTGGGCAGGGCATCCTGCCTTCCTGGGCTGCTGTTCCAGTTCCTCAGATAAAGCTTCGACTATACTTGTCTTCTGGCCACTTTGTCCCCAACATACAATATTTGGGAAGTTTTTACTATTTATGTAGACTCTCGCTATTTATTGCAAATTGGCAAGTGCTTTGGGATGAGGGTGGCTGAGGTGGTAGAGGAGTTTGAGGCATGAATGGCCCTCTTGTTTCCCAAGGTTAGCCCTGACATCCTCTTCACAGGTCCTGGCTGGGAGGGCTGCCAGCTCTCAGTAGAACTGAGGAGGGAGGCCACAGCTGGTGATGAGTTTGCTGTGCACAGAGATACTGACCAGATACACTCCAATGTCCTGGCCCACACTCAGCCCAGGACTTAGCTGATGGTTCAGCTCTGACTTTGACCCCTTCATAGCTTGAGGCTTTGGCTACTGCCTGGACCCAGCAGATACTCCCTGGGATGCCTGATGCATTCCCTCTTGCCTGTCCCCCTTTCCTGGAATCATGCTACTTGAATCACTGTATCTGTTTGCCTCCGTGGGAGAACTGCATCCAGAGCCTTCTGCCTCGTCTTTGAGACGGAGGTCAGGAGCACAAGAACCATGCTTGGGTAGGCTGCTCCCTGGTGAGGTGCTGCCTGGGGAAGGACTTGCCCTGGATTCTTAAGGGAGGCCCACAGAGTCAGAGGCCTGCAGCTTCCCTCCCAGGACCACGGACACTTACACACTGAGCTGTGTGAGCTTGGCAGGTCTCTATCTGACGGTCAGAGCGTTAGTTGCTTTGTGTTCTCACGTGTCTTCTCAATCAGTGCTGTCAATGAGTTGTCTTTAATAAATCCTGTGTTCTTTATGATGGGCTGTGGTATTGTGATGAACTTGAGACTTTGGAGCAGGAACAGAGTTGGAGTCCCTTAGAATGGTTTAAGTCCAGGAATGCTTCTCGGGAGGCTCTGTTAAATCCAGTCTCTGTGATCTGCACCAGAGGAGGGGTGGAAGGAGGCACTGACTGAGGGCAGGGTACATTGTTGTGTGTGTGTGTGTGCATGTGTGCGTGCATACTCTCACCATGTGTGTTCCAGAGATTGAACTCAGGTCATCAAGGTTGGTGGCAAGTGCTTTAACCCACTGATCCATCTCATCTGTTTTCTGGCAGCACATTCTTTCTAGATTGTTTATGTGTATGAGTGTTTTGCCTGCATGTATGTAAGTACACCAGTGTTATGCAGTGTTCACGGAGACCAGCAGAGGGCATTGAATCCCCTGGAGCTGGAGTTACAGATGATTGTTTGCCATCATGTGGGTGCTGGGAATTGAACCCTGGTCCACTGCAAGAGCAGCCAGTGCTCTTAACCTCCAGGCCATCTTTTTGGCCCCTAGATTATTTAATATTTGGTTTTATTTTTGGAACAGCATCTCACTGTCTCCTTCCCTAGCCTGGAACTCACAGAGATCTGCCTGCCTCTGCCTCCAAATGCTGGGATTAAAGATACGCACCACCACATCCAAATATATTTTTAGACTTTTTTTTTTTTTTGGTCTTTTTGAGACATGGTCTCCCTGTAGCCCCAGCTGTCATGGAACTCACTATGTAGACCAGGCTGGCCTTGAACTCCATCTGCCTGCCTCTGCCTCCCGAGTGCTGGGATTAAAGGCATGTGCCACCATGTCTGGCCTATTTTTAGATTTTAAAACACTTAGGTCCTCCCAATAGATTCAGAAGAGGTATTTGACAAGATCAAAACATCTCTTCATGATTAAAAACTCAAAAATTGCCAGGCATGGTGGCTCATGTCTTTAGTCCCAGCACATAAAAGTAATGTGCTTCAAGGCAATAGCCTTGAGTGGGAAACCCAAGTCAATGCCCCACTCTAGAACAAGTTTAAAACTTTTTCTTTGGCAGGGCGTGGTGGCACACCTTTAATCTCAGCACTCGGGAGGCAGAGGCAGGTGGATCTCTTGAGTTCAAGGCTACCCTGGTCTATATAATGAGTTCCAGGCCAGCTGGGGCTACAGGGAGACCCTGTTGCAAAAAAAAAAAAAAAAAAAAAGAAAGAAAAAGTTTAAGACCAGGAGCAAGACGGGACTGGCAGTCCTTAGCAGTGAGGCAAGAAGAAAAATTAAGATACTCAAGTCAGAAAAAAAAAGCAAAGCAAACTTGCTGACAGAATGATCTGCTTCGAAAGCCTTAACCCCAGTATTCAGAACTGATGTAAGTTGCAGGTTACAGAGTCAACATAGGCTCAGCACTACAGCATGTTAGTTAGCACCTTCCCCTAATACTCTGAAAATCAGGAGTATTTCTTTATGTTACCTATTACCTCTAAAAACAGTAAAATCTCGTGTGATAGCTCGAAGAAAATAAACTACTTGGGATTTTGTTTTGTTTTTCTGTAGTGTTGGGGATAGAGTCCAAGGCCTCACGCATGCTAGACAAACACTGTACCACCTAACTATAGATGTAGCCTCCCAAACTTAACCAATGAGAGAAAACCCTGCATGTTGAACATTGTAAAACCTTGAAGGAAACTGAAGAAAATGCAAATAAATTGAAAGAGATTTCATGTTGGTAGGTTGTAAGAATCCTTAAACCCAGTCCCTATCAAGATCCAGGTGTGGGGCTGGACATGATGCATGCTTTCCTAGCACGTCCTAGAGGTAGCTGGATCTCTCAATGAGATTGAGGCCAGCCTGGTCTACATAGTGAGTTCCTACCCAGCCAGTGAAACCCTGTCTTAACCATAATAATAATAATAATTAATTAGTTAAATCTGAAGATCCCAGTGTGGCCCAACATGGTGGTATATACCTATAATCCCAGCACTCCACAAGCAGAGGCATGAGCATCAGGGCAAGTTTGAAGCCAATCTGTGCTATATAGTGAGTGCCAGGATAGCCAGGACTGCATGGTGAGGTCCTGTCTCAACAAAATTGTAATGAGATGGGGGGGCGGTGCTGATAGGCGTGGATGACATCCATCGATAGAACAGAATGCCCAGAAATAAGAGCAACATTCACAGCAACTTATTTTTTTCATAGTGCCAAGAATACCTGGGGAGAGGAAAGTCCTCAACAAATGGTGTTGAGGGAAAGGAATACCCACATTTGGGAGAGAAAAATCAACCCAAAATGGATTACTGAGTGGGGTGTGATGACATAGGCCTTTAATCCCAGCACCCAGGAAGCAGACGCAGCAGCATCTGAGACCAGGGGCCAGCCTGGTCTACATAGGGAGTTACAGTCCAGCAGGGCTTCAGGGAGACCCTGTCTCAACAAGGATTAAAGACAACCATAAGGTGTAAAACTACTAGAAGACGGGAGAAAGGTAACACTTTGGATGTGACCCCCGAGCACTTTTCCATGTTCAGTGGTGGCATTCACAGTAGCCAAGAACCAAATGTCCTTTAATGAAGGAATGGTTAAAGAAAATGGCATAGACATAACATGGAATCCTGCATGCATATGGGGGCGAGGGGAGTCAGGGTCACCCCAAGCTGCCCTCAAATTCATGGTAATTCCCGTCTCAGCCTTCCTAGAATTGAGATTATAGTCACCATGCCAAGCTACTGTTCACTTGACCTTTATTTTGTGTGTGTGCAAATGCAAGTGTGCATGAACCATAGCACTTAAGTAGAGGTCACAGAGCACAGGCTTCAGCTCTCTCCTTCCACTCTGTTCTGAGGCAGGGTCCCTCATGTTTCTGCTGCCTGGAGCACTGCAGGCTAGCTGGCCCACAACTTCTGGCTTCTCCTGCCTCTGCTTCCCATATCGTTTTAGAGGTACTGGGATTACAGATGTGTGCTATTGCATTTTCCCTTTTATGGGGGTTCCAGAGATGGAACTCAGGTTGTCAGGCATGCTTTTACCCACTGAACCATGTCCCCAGCCCCTTTAAGAAAAAGATTTATGCTGGGCAAAGTGGCACATGCCTTAAATCCCAGTACCTGGGAGGCAGAGGCAGGTGGATCTCTGGGATGTAAGTGTACCACTGGAGTGCAGAGTCTGCAGAGGCCGAGAGAGGGCGTTCCTTCCCTGAAACTGAGTCCAAAGTGGTTGTGATCTGCCATTTAGGTGCTGTGAGCTGAACAGAGGTACTCTGTAAGAGCAGACAATGCTGGGACTCAAATACACACACACACATACACACACACACACACACACACACACACACACACACACACACACACACAGTGGTGAGCAAACTGCTGTATGGTTTTTAAATGTTTGCCTAGACTAAATACTATTCCATCCAACAGGTGGAAAACGTCCTTAACCAGATCCTATTGTTGAGTAATTTGCATATCCGTGGTGAACAGCATGGAAGTCCTTGCCTTCCCAACCTATTTCCCAGGTTCAGCCCTTTTAGTGGGTTGAAAAGTATGGACCTAGTTTAAAGACGTTTCTTTTTTTTTTTTTTTTCTTTCCTGCTTTTCTGTTTTTTAAAAAAAATATATCTTATTATTTTTATGTGTGTATTGCCTGCGTGCAAGTAAGTGCACCCGTGCAATGCTCGCGGAGGGCAGAAGAGGCTCTCGGATCCCCTGGAACTGGAGTTAGGAACAGTTGTTAGCTGCCATGTGGGTACTGGGATTCAAACCCGGGTCTTCTGCAAGAACATTGCAATCAGTGTTGTTAACCACTGAGCCATCTCTCCAGCCCCCTTTTCTAGTCTTTTTGAGACAGGATCTCCCTGTAGCCCCAGCTAACCTGGTACTCACTATGTAGACCAGGCTGGCCTCGAACTCCCAGAGATCCGCCAGCCCCTGCCTCCCAAGTGCTGGGATTAAAGGCGTGCGCCACCACGCCCCGCTCATTTACGCTTTCCAAGCTGCTTTCAGCAAGTTTCTGCTCCAGCCAGCAGTTCGCAGCAGCCGCCTGCACCCCGGTCTTAGCTCATTTTGTGGTGCAACGATGAGGTCACGGACTTGGGGGTTCTGTCCTTGCTCTGCTAGCCAGAGGCCTGGGCGCTGTTTGGAAAGTGAAAAGGGGCTGCGGAAAATGCGCTCCTGGACTTTACCCTTGCCAGGCGCAGCGCAGAAGCAGGAGGGAAGGTGCCCCCCGGAGTCGCAGGAGTCGGGGGCGGGGCCAGAACTGACGGCGGCCAATCAGGAGCGCGCAGGCCTTGCGGTGCCTCCTCGCCGCTAGGGCAGCGCAAGGACGCCGGTGGCGCGCGGGACCGGTGCGCGTGCGTGCGGGACGGTGCATGTTCGCTTCCCGGGATCGCTATGCGCGCGGTGCGGGTCGGGCTGACCCTGACCCTGGGCGCTGGGCTGGGCGCGGCGGCGGAGGGCTGGCGGCGGGGGCGCACGGAGGGGCGCGCGCCAGGGCTGCTGCTCCGGGTGCCGGTGCTGCCCGTGGCGGGCGCGGCCGCGCCGCCCGCCCCCCCCCGGGGGGGGCTGCCCGGAGTGGCGCAGCTCAAAAGCCGCGAGTCCTACGTGCTGAGCTACGATCCGCGCACGCGCGGCGCGCTCTGGGTGCTGGAGCAGCTGCGGCCCGAGCGGCTGCGCGGCGACGGCGACCGGAGCGCGTGCGACTTCCACGAGGACGACTCGGTGCACGCCTACCATCGCGCCACCAACGCCGACTACCGCGGCAGCGGCTTCCACCGCGGCCACCTCGCCGCCGCCGCCAACCACCGCTGGAGCCAGCGGGCCGTGGACGACACCTTCTACCTGAGCAACGTGGCGCCGCAGGTAGCGCCCCGCGCCCGGCTGGGGACCCGCAGTCCGGCCCTGCTTCCCACGGGGCCCATGCTATACCCACCCCCTACGTCTTGCAGTGATGACCCAGTGCACCTGCTGAGGGAACCCAGGAAGTCTGTAAACTGTCTACGCAGTGGGACTGCCTAGCCTTGGCCAGGAAAGTAGCTGGCACACAGTTGCGCTCTTGGTGCCATTTTCCTGGCGACCCGGACACACGGCCTTCGCTCTGGGTGTCTAACCGGCAGGATCTTGTTCTAGATTCCTCCCTGGGGCGACCACCCAGAGGATGTTGACAGACAGGAGCCAGACTGACCCCTTTTCTAGACCTTGTCCTGAGGCCTGGCCTGTTCAGGTGACCTCAGGGGTGGGGTCTCTTAATGAGGAAAGGGACCCCCCCCTTCCTACAGTTGAGACTTGGTGCAGGAGACATGGATAGGGGTGTGGCTTGGCCTGGTCAGCCCTGCTAAGTCTCCCACCGGGAATAACACCTTCCTCGAGCTTTTGTCATCTACCTTCTTGCCCACCTCCATAGCTCCTGGGGCATTCCTGGGATAAAGGTTCCAGGCATGGTCCTCTGAGCCCTGCTTCTCCTACCAGGTGCCACACCTCAACCAGAATGCTTGGAACAACCTGGAGAAGTACAGCCGAAGCTTGACCCGCACCTACCAAAGCGTCTATGTCTGCACAGGACCGCTCTACCTGCCCAGGTGAGCCTGCCTTACCTCCCCTTCTCTGGCTTTCCACGTCATCCTAGCCAGAAGCCTTTGGGTGCCCTCCTAGAACACTGCTCCTGTTCTGTGCCCACAGGTGCTAGGCCCTGATTCTACCCTCTTCCCCATCTTTCGGCACTTACTGCCAGCCTTGAGCCCCTGTGCTGCAGTGATGGAAGCCCTTTGGGGCTTTGCCGCACCAGCCTTGCTCTGCCTCTGCCCTGAGCATTCCTCCCGAACAGAGTCCTGCCAGGTGGAAGGGACCGAGCTCCTCTGAACTCAGCACTCTTTCTGGTCTGATGGAATGGGATGGGATGAATGCGGTGATGGAGTCCACAGGCTTGGAGGAGCCAAGCCCTGGCGCCATGAGCAAGTGACCTTACTGTCCTCCCCTGCAATGGGAATAGACTTGTGACCTCATGGTTACTGAGTACAAGAGTGGGCTGGTGGCCATTGCGCTCAGCTCAGGGCCTGGCTCATGGCAAGGGCTCAGCACAGGCTAGACAAGGTGGCAGCTGTGGCACCAATAAAAATTTTATTATGACACACCTGCCAACTGGAGGCTGCTACTGAAGAAGACAGGCACCTGCCAAGGGGCAGGCCTTGTGCTGAGACTGGGATTCCGGCTTTTGGGGTCTTTGCTTGCGGCACTGTTTTATGGAGACAGGCACAAGATAACAGCGAGGTTCAGAACTCATTCTTTTAGCAGTGTTTATTGCCACCCACTCTGCCTGACCCAATGTGGGACATGAGTCCCTCCCTACCTTACCATGTTCCCAGCCCCAAGGAGGCACTGGGCACAGTACACAAGCCTCTCAATGAGGGGACAACAGAAGGTGGAGGTTAGGTCAGAAAAGGCACCCTGGAAGAGGCAGCTTTGCTTCCAACCACATCTCCTGGCCATGTGTTCCTGGGTCTACCCACAGGACCGAGGCTGACGGCAAGTCCTATGTGAAGTACCAGGTGATCGGCAAGAACCACGTGGCAGTACCCACACACTTTTTCAAAGTTCTGATCCTGGAGGCTGCGGGTGGGCAGATCGAGTTGCGTTCCTATGTGATGCCCAATGCCCCCGTTGATGAGACCCTCCCGCTTGAGCGCTTCCTGGTACCCATCGAGAGCATCGAGCGGGCCTCAGGGCTGCTCTTCGTGCCCAACATCCTGGCGAAAGCTGGAAACCTCAAGGCTATCACTGCCGGCAGCAAATGAGGGCAGACAACCTGAGACGCTGGGGTGATGTGGCTGGGTCACATTAAAGGTGGTTATTTTTAGAGACAAGTCCTGACCATCTCTGTCTCAGGTGATCCCAGGATTCCTGATTTCCTGCTGTTTCCTTTACATCCTGGACCCACAGAGCTTTCAGGAGGGGCGGGTACCCGCCTGTGTGAGGCCAGGCTGCAGGGCAGCCAGGGAGATGAGTATTGCTTCCTAGAGGAGAAGCAAACAGTGGGTTGGGACCTGGGAATCTGGCGCTGCCCCAGCTACTGTTGTCACAGCCCAGGACTCAGCCCGAGTGGGGAGGTTAAAGCCATGTTCATTGACCAGCCTCCTGGTGAGTGGCAGGCCTTGTCCCCCAGTGTCCCCTGTAAAACAGGGATGACAGAACTGATGCTGCTGCCTCAAGGGACGGGGTGGGTTAACATGATAGGCAGGAACTGGTGACACGGGCAGGGGCTCAGGGAGAGGCAGTCACTACCCCTGAGGCTGACAAAGCGCCCACAGGGACAGCATCCCATACTGGCCTCAGGAATGGCTGCACAGGATCCGTGAGATGCTGTTTCTCATCCCAGAGATGCATGTGACACCTCAAGGAAAGAGGCCATGCTAGGGCCACTGAGGAACAGCGAGGCTGCAGCTGAGGAAGCAGAGGCTCTGGATCGGGGACAGACAAATCACCTGGGTCCCCCAGCAGTGTTACCACTGGTGCGACTCAAACCCCTGTGGCTCTTGTATCCTGTCCCTGCCTCTAGTTTGCTGTGCTGAGGAGCCCATATTCAGAGAAAGCACCCAGCAAGGACTACGGGGTGAACTGCAAGCCACCCTGACCGGCCCCAGGCCCTGCTGAAGGGTGTGGGGGGGTAACGGCTCACCTCAGTGCGGATGGTGCGGCTGCCCTGGCTGGGGCAGGTGTTGACATACAGGTCAAAGAGGACACTGGGTTCAGCCACCTCCAGGTTGGGGTCAGCATCCACTCCAGCTTCTAGCCCCTGGAGGCCTCCAAATACCACAAGAGCATGCCTGGGATCCAGAGGAGGGAACAGTGTCCATACCCCACTCCCTTGCACAGTGAAGGCCAGTCTGTACAGGTTTTGCACTTTGTCCCCAGCCCCTGCCCTGGGTATCACCCACCTGAAGCTGGGCAGCTGGGCGGAGGCCATGTTGGAGCCACGCTCTGATGTCCCAATGGTCAGATCATACCCATCCTGGAAGGGGGCCTCGGCAAACACAGCACCTGGGGGCAGGGCTAGCTCAGTGGGATCCTGCTCTAGGCTGTGTGCCTCATACCTTGTGGGGTGGGCTGAAGTTAGGGCTCAGGTAAAGAAGGCTAGCCACAGCTCTTGGGAAGCTGAGTACTGGGATGGTAAAGCTGAAGCCTGGGGTTGGCCGGGGCTCACCCAGGGTGGGCAGGAAGGCGCTCCAGGAACATGCCAACCTCTGACTTGCATGTTCCCAACCCCAGACAATATTCAGCAGCCTCACCAATATTTGCCCGGCTTTTTTTTTTTTTTTTTTTTTTTTTTTTTTTTTCAAACGCTGTAGCGCCAGCTGGCCTGGAACTCTCTTTGTAGACCAGACTGACCTTGAACTCATAGAGATCCGCCTGCCTCTGCCTCCCAAGTGCTGGGATTAAAGGCATGTATCATCATACCTTTTTTTTTTTTTTTTTTTTTTGAGATAGGATCAAGTTCTGTGGCCCAAGCTGGCCTCAAACTGGGTGATACTCCTGGTACTGGGATTACAGGTGGGAGGCAGCCATGCCCCAGAGAAGGCACCACCCAACCCACAGCCAGCTGGTAGGACAAGGGCCCTGGTCTGATTTGTGGGTGACACAAGTCTCCTGATGCTGTCTCCCAGAGGGACAGATGGACATTCAGAGAAGACACCTCCATCCTTACTGAGACAGGAGGCCAGGCGGACAGTGTAGCCCCAGTAGAGACCAGCTTTAGTGCGGGGGTCCTGCGATGATACAACCATTCCCCGGTAAGTCTTGCATTCTGAGGAAAAAAAATGGGCTATGAAGATGAGGCACAGGGACAGAGGTAGGAGGAAGAAGCTCTGAGGCAGGCCACAGTGGGAGCCAAGGAAGCTTCCAGATACCTGAGGGCTGTTGCTTGTTCAGTCGCACGGTCACCCGAAGCCCAGGTTCCAAGTTCTTGTCAATCTTCACCTCCTGAGGAGAAGCCAGAGGAAGTGAGTGCCAGGCCATCCAGGGGCCACTGTTCTCAGAGACCCTGTGGAGGAACTGCAGGGCCAGCAAGGTACACCAGTAGGCCAGGTTCAGCCTGCCACACTGCATCCAGCACTGGGTGGGACCTCTGACGGGGCCATTCATGTAGGATGGTGGTCAGAAATGGAGGCCTGGAGCTTACTTAGCACATTGAGGGAGTCGGTGTCATAGAGATGAAGTCCCAGGTTTCCTACATGTGGGGGCTTTGCCACCTGTTAGTTGTAGGGGCTTGGGGAGGCCAGTTAACTCCCATGAACCTCAGTTTCCTCATCTGTTACAACTGCAGATTCTCTATAAACAAGAGCGACTTTTGGGACAGGTGAGATGGCTCAGTGGGTAAAAGTACTTGCCACCAAGTCTGATGATCTGAGTTCAATCTCTGAGACCCACATGGTGGAAGGAGAGAACTGACTCTGGAAAGTTGTCCCTGGACCTCCACACATGCCTTGGCACATGTGTGCTCACCCACATACATAAACATAGTAAAACTGATCAAAATGTAAAAGACAAAACAGCAAAGCTGGGAATGTACTTCAGTGGTAGAGACTAATCCCCAGGGCCAGTAGTGACAGATAATAGAACTGAGTTTGTGCCAGGCCTCTCAAGCCCTGCTTTGGATATTTCTTTGGTGGTTCACAGGAAGGCCCAGGGTCCAGGTCTCCCTACCACATGTCCTTGCCTGTCCTCCATAGCTAGCAAATGTCATTAAGGTACACCACAAACTGCCCTTCCTGTTCCTACCTTCTTCATACCACAGTTGACAAAGGAGCCGTGACCTGGCCTGGTGGGCCGGTCCACCACGACGCCTTCCCGGAACTCAGATTCCTCATCCTGACGCATGTGGTGAGGGCTGTCCAAGGGATTCAGGATCCCTAGGCAGGGGGCAGGAGGGTGACATGCGGAACCTGTTTCAAATCTCAGCTCTGCCACAGGCCTGACGTCAGGCCCAGGCCTCCATTCCCAGACCTGCTTTCCTACCCGGACAGTGGGACTGGACCATTTCTCAGCGTCCTGGGGGATGAGCTGTGGGAAATGGGCCACGCCACCAGCCATACCTGCAAACTGCAGATCCTGGTGTTTGGGGAAGAAGGCTTTTCTCAGGTACCTAGGGAAGAATGCAGCTGTCAGGACCCTCCTGGGGAGGCTGCCTCCCACCTCCGTCCAAGGTGACTCGACCCTGGCCCCCACACTCAGGATAGTCACTGCCTTACTGTGGACACTCCAGGTACTGCAGTATGCGGGCCAGCTGCACGCATGCCTGTCCCTTCTTGCCAATGCCCTTGAATTCCCCTTCTACAGTCCTGGAAAAGAGAAAGGGCTCAAGATCCAAGTGCTGGGTTGGTGAGATGGCTCAGTGGGTAAGGGCACTTGCTGCCAAGGCTGACAGCCTGAGTTTGATTCCTAGAACGCACAGGGGGGAAGGAAAGAACTGACTTCTGGGTCTTCTGATTTCCACACACATTGTGAACGTGCAACACACACACAATAAATAAACAGCTCAGTGGCAGAGCCATGTGAAAAACCCTGAGTTCAATCTCCAGTACTAAGGGGAAAAAAGACCCACCTGCAGTCCCTTCTGAGAGCCTCCCACCACTCTGACCTGAGCGGCTCTGTGGCTCTGCACAAACTAAGGATTACAAAGGGACGTTTCAGGCAGACCACTTGGAAAGCACCAGGCAGGTGATGAGGGGCATAGCCAGTCCTGGCATCATTCCCTCCTCCCTGAACCCCTGAAGACTCACTTGGCATCTTGGCCCTCCTCATCAAACACCACAATTTCATCCACACAGAAGATGGTGCAGGCTCGGGCAATCTGGCCTGCCAGGTAGGTGCGAAGCTCAGGTGACTGTGCGTTGTCCAGAATGGAGCCAGGCAGAGCCACGCTCAGAGTGTAGGGCCGCCCTGGGCAGGGGGAGGGGTGGTTCCTGGTTAGCCTGAGAGCCAAGGCCCTTCCTCCCCTCCCTTGCTCTGTCCCCACAGCCCAGGGTTAAGAGAACTGTCTAACTGGGAGAAATTTTGAGATCAGCAAAATAGATCCAGCTCCCTTCTCTGGGCCTCAGTCTCAGGAAAAAACAGACTGAGCTCTCCAAGGCTTCTCAGAGGGCAAGGCCAGGATAAGGTCGGAAGCACTGGCCTAAGTATTCCTGGCTTAGTTCTGAGCTACCTCAGTCACCACCCCAAATACAGATGATGAGAGCAGCAAGTTATTGAGGCTGGAGAGATGGCTCAACAGTTAAGAGAACTAGCTGCTCTTACAGAGGACCAGGGTTTAGTTCCCAGCACCCACATGGTGGCTCACAACCAAGGGTAACTCCAGCTCCAGGGCATCTGGTATTGTCTTTTAGTCTCTGCAGGCACCAGGCATGTATGTGGTGCACATACATACATGCAGGCAAAACACTCGAAATCTTAAAAAGAAAAGCGTCTAATAAGCATTTGATGTTCTTAGAATAAGCTCTAGGAAGTAAGAGTCAGCCCTCTCTGCAGGCTCCACACCTAGGGATTCAATCAACTCTGTTTAGAAACAAATATATATTTATACATGTGCATGTACACACAGATCACTGTGTGGTAGATCTGTCTTTTGAGATGGGGGTTGCTATATTCTCAAACTCATGATCTTTCTGTCTCAGCCTCCATAATAGAGGGGCTAAAGACATGCATTACCATGCTGGGTTTGTTGAAAATGTTAAGGAAGGGGGCTGGAGAGAGAGCTCAGCCCGTTAAGAGCACTGGCTGGTCTTGCAGAGGACCTGGGTTGGAATCCCAGCACCCCCACATGGTGAACAACCATCCATAACTCCATTCCAGGGGATCTGATGCCCTCTTCTGACCTCTGTAGGCATTGCATGACATGGATGTGTTTACACACATGCAAAATATTTTATTATTTTTATTTTATGTGTATGAGTATTGCCTGCATGTATGTGAGTGCACCCATGTTGTGCAATGCTGTGGAGGTCAGAAGAGGGCTTCGGATTCCCCTGGAACTGGAGTTAAGGACAGTTCGTAGTCGCCATGTGGGTGCTGGGAATTGAACCTGGGTCCTCTGCAAGAGCAGTCAGTGCTCTTAACCGCTGAGCCATTTCTCCAGCCCCAAAATATTTTTTAAAAATTAAGGGGGGAAAGGGAAGGAAAGGAGGAAAAGAAGGAGGGAGGAAGGAAAGTTAGAAGTTCTGAGGCATAAAGAAACACTGCATAACCTCCTAAGTACTGAGGGCTCAGAGGTATGGACTACCCTTCTCTGGGCCTCACTCAGCTTCTTCATCTGAACAAAGTGACTTGACCTCGATCCACTGATCACTACGAGCCCTTCTACAGGACTAGCTGGCCCCAGGCCCCAGCTGCCTCACCCTGGTGGCTCCCCCGGGCAGCCGCCGCCTCCTCCTCCTGGCACTTTGCCTGCTCCTCCTGTGCACGCTGCCGCTCCAGCTTCTTCATCATCTTCAAGTCCTTCCACTTTTTCTTCTCCTCTTTCTCTGGAGAAGAAAGCATCCTGATTGGTGAGGGAAGGGTCTTGGCACAGTGAGGAGGTAAGTCCCTTCACTGGGCCAGCCTGGGCTCTGGGTAGGCAGCCACAGCCTGTCCTCTGGGAGGCACAGAGACCCCGAGGGGGTGGTGCCCAGCCCAGGGCCTGCCAGGGTGGTCTGGGGGCACGGAGGGCTCAGCACTCTGGTCCAGCCCTGACTTACTCTGCTGTTTCCATTTCCGCCATTCAACCCTTTGGCCATGTTCACCCTGGAGGAAGAGAGGGAGGAGGGCTAGGGTGGGAGGCTGACGGGGGAGCACCGCGGCTGCAGCTGCCATCCTAATCCTCCACGTTGGGGGCGGGGGGATAGGAGAGGAAGCCAGGGACCCGGGACCCAGTGCTGTCAGCAGGATGGGTGTCAGCAGGTCAGGGATCCGCTGGACTCCCAAGGCCTGGGGTCAGGCCAGGCACAGTAAAGCAATCAGTGAGTGATGGGATGAGTTCCCATAGGACAGAAGAGGAGACTGAGGCACAGGGGCCGGGTCTGCCCGGAGTGAGAAGGGGCTCTGAGAACCATGCGCACGGCCCCGGATAGGCAGCCTCGCGCACGCAGGGCTCGGACCCTGGCCCCACTCCACCGCGCGCCCCGTCCCGGCCCCCACCGGCCTCCACCTACCGGACCGCACGGCCGCTTCCTCGCCGGCTCCGCCATGTTCGGCGGAACACCACGTGCCTACCAATCAGAGTCACCTCTTCTGGCCACACCCCTCCGAGGAGCCGGCCAATCTGAGGCGCAAATACGCTTGGGGGCGTGGCCTAGGCTCACCGCCTCGGATCGGGAAGTGGGTTGCAACCGAGGGATATACATGTGGATAGCACAGTCGCGATAGTCAGCCTCCACCTCGTTTTATGCAAGGGAACCCTTATGGCAAGTGTGATTAAGAACTTCAAATTATTTCAAGTTTTTTTATTCGTTCATTTGTTTTGCTGGGGATCCAACTCGGGGCCTGACGCATGCAAAATTAAGTCATCCACCGATCTCCAACCCTACCCAGACTTCAGTTTTTATTAATTTAATTTGTGTGTGTACGGTTTTGTTTTGTTTTGACTCGGTCTTGCTGTGTAGGGAAGCCCAAGATGACTTCAAACTGAATATCCTACTGTTCCAACCTCCAGAGTGCTGTAATTTATTTTGTTTGTTTGCTTATGGTTGTGCTGAGGATCAAATTCAAGGCCTCATGCATGCAAGCGCGCTCTCTACCCCTGAGCTGTATTCCTTCCTCCTTTTCAAGTAGTTGTAACTTAGAGGAAGCTGGGAAGGGGCTGGAAAGAGATATTGGCTCAGTGGTTAAGAGTGCTTACCATTCTTGCAGATGACCCATGTTTGGTTCCCAACACCCACATGGTAGCTCACCACTGTAACTCCAGTTCCAGGGGATCTGACCCCCCCACCCCCGTCTGGCCTCTGTGGACACTGATGCACATGGTGCGCATATATACATGCAGAAAAACACGCCTACACATATAAGTAAAAAAGTCCTGGAAAAGCCAGGCGTGGTGGCACACGCCTTTAATCCCAGCACTTGGGAGGCAGAGGCAGGCGGATTTCTGTGAGTTCCAGGACAGCTGAGGCTACAGGGAGACCCTGTCTCAAAAAGACCAAAAAAAAAAAAAAAAAAAAAAAAAAAAGTCCTGGAAAGATCATACTAAAAGTCCCCATGCCCCCCACCATAGTTTTGTGTTAATGTTTTGGAACAATGTGGACCTTCTTTACACTTGGTGAACTACCGGTGCCAGCCGGCCAAGACAGACAGTACCTGAAAGGGGGAGTGAGGATTGAAAGAAAAAACAAGAGACAGAGAAAAGATTCTTGGGAGGGCTGTCAGTAGAGACTGCAGCCCCGGTTTATTCTAGCTCCACCTTTTTATACAGAAGAACATCGGAGATAGCCACGCTTTGCTTAGCTCAATTAATTTCAACAGCTGTTTTTCCCACCTGTCTCTGAGGGTCAAGGAGGGTCAGATACTTGTGAACTCCAGCATATAAACACATTCCTCCTGACTTGGTAGATTAGGTACTGGTGTGTAAGACACAAACTCTAAGTAAACAAGCAAGCCTGCCATAGCTCAATGTACATAATGTCTGCACTTATATCAATAGCTCACAACAGTGAATATTATCAATCAAACTTAGTTCCCATTCACATTAGGGTCCCCAAGAACATCGGAGATAGCCAGGCTTTGCTTAGCTCAATTAATTTCAACAGCTGTTTTTCCCACCTGTCTCTGAGGGTCAAGGAGCGGTCAGATACTTGTGAACTCCAGCATATAAACACATTCCTCCTGACTTGGCAGATTAGGTACTGGTGTGCAAGACACAAACTCTAAGTAAACAAGCAAGCCTGCCGTAGCTCAATGTACATAATGTCTGCACTTATATCAATAGCTCCCAACAGTGAATATTATCAATCAAACTTAGTTCCCATTCACATTAGGGTCCCCTCTCACATTAGGGTCCCCTCTTTTTCCAGGGGGGCGTGTCTTTTTTGAGACAGGGTCTCCCTGTAGCCCCAGCTGGCCTGGAACTTACTATGTAGACCAGGTAGGCCTCAGTCTCACAGAGGTCTACCTGTCTCTGCCTCCCAAGTGCTGGGATCAAAGGTGTGCGCCACCACAGCTGGTGGAGTTCCCTCTTTCTTTGGTGCTAGAGATTTTTGTTTCATGTGTTCTGTTTGTTGAGACAATGTCTCCGTCCTCCTGCTTTATCTTCCCAAATGCTCAGGGTGTGCAGCATCATGCTCAACTCCTGTGGGTTTTGACTAATGATAAGGTCAGGTATCCACCACTACAGTATCATACTGACTATTCTGACTTCAGAGTCCCCAGTGCTCTGCCTGTTCGTTCTTCCTCTTCCAGAGTGTCATCTACTGGAGATGATACACACTTCAGGAGCCTTTCACATTGGCTCTTCATTTAGAAAATGTGACTTTAGGGCTTGGGATAGCCTAGGTGACAGAGTGCTTGTCCAGCATGAAGCTCTGGATTTGACCCTCAGCAGTGCACAAAACAGGGCAAGGTGGTACACACTTGTAATCCCAGCACTTGGGAGATGCAGGCAGGAGGATCCGAAGTTCAAATTTGTTGGGTGGGGTGTGGTGGCGCATGCCTTTAATCCCAGCACTCTGGAGGCAGAGGCAAGCAGATCTCTGTGAGATTGAGGCCAACCTGGTCCACATAGTGAATTCCAGGCCAGCTGGGACTGCAGGAGGACCCTGTCTCAAAAAAAGGAAAACAAAACAGGGCCGGGTATGGTGGTGCACGCCTTTAATCCCAGCACTTGGGAGGCAGAGGCAGGCGGATCTCTGTGAGTTCAAGGCCAGCCTGGTCTACATAGTGAGTTCCAGGACAGCTGGGGCTACAGGGAGACCCTGTCTCAAAAAGACAAAAAAGGAAAGAAAAAAAAAGAAAGGAAAAGACAATATGGACATGACTTCGAGTTTCCTTTTGTCTTTCTGTGGCCTGATGTTTCCTTCCCTTCCTCCTTCCTTCCTTCCAAGACAAGGTCTCACTATGTAGCTCTGGCTTACATGGAACTCACCACGTAGACTAGGCTGGCCTTGGACTTGAAGAGATCTGCCTGCTTCTGCCTTCCAAATCCTGGGATTACATCGGTATGCCACTGTGCTTGGCTCCTATTTGGCTTTTAAAGGCTATCTTAGTTTCTTCAAATTTTCTTTTTCTTCTTCCTTCCTTTTTTTGGTCTCGTTGTTTCTGAGACAGGGTCTCCCTGTATCCCCAGAGATCTGCCTGCTTCTTCCTCCCAAGTGCTAGGATTAAAGGCATCCTCAGAATCCACATAAAGGAGAATGGAGAGAACTGGCTCAACTAAGGGTGAAGGGAACTCAGTATGTAGACCAGCCTGGCCTCAGTCTCACAGAGATCTGCCTGCTTCTGCCTCCCAAATGCTGGGATTAAAGTCATGCACCGCCATGCCTGACTCCCTTTGATTTTTTTTTTATGGTGCTAGGCAAGTACTCTGCCACCAAGTTATATCTCTAATTTCCATTTTTTGGCAATTACAAACCAAGCTTCTAAGTACATTCATCTGTGCACACGTGTCAGAGTGTGTGTGCAGGTGTGTGACCATGGGTGTCCTCCTGTTACTTTCTACCTTGTTTCCTGGAGACAGAATCTCTCATTGAACTGAGAGCTCACCAATTTTCAGCTAGGCTAGAGGTCATCAAGCCCCAGTGATCTTTCTGTCTCCACTGCCCACATTGCTGGGGTTCCAGGCATGTGGGACCACACTGACCTGTTTGTTTTTAATATTGGTGCTGGGATTTGAACTCAAGCCCTCATGTTTGTGCAGTAAGAACTCTTACCCACTGAGCCATCAGGGTAAGTACCTAGGAGCCTAAAAATTTTGTATTTGGGATCCTGTCTCTTGTACCCCAAGCTGGTCTAGAAGTCACTATGTAGCCAAGGATGACCCTGAATTTCTGAAGTCCATATTCCAGATTCTCAGGCACTTCAAACACCTTAAAAATACCTACATGGAGCCATCAAGTTGGTTCAGTGGATAAAGGAGCTTGTGGCCAAGTCACCTTTTTCTGTTGCTGTTATTGTTTTAGACAGGGTCAATGGAGTCTCTTTGTAGCCTCAGCTGGCCTGGAACTTGCTATGCAGACCAGGCTCACCTCAAACTCACAGAGATCTGCCTACCTCTGCTTCCCAAGTGCTGGGCTTAAAGGTGTGTGCCACCATGCTCAATGTCAAGTTGTTACCTTTTTGAAAGGGGACTCTCCAAAGCTTATTCTGTAGCCCAGGCTGGACTTGACTTAGGATCCTCCTGCCTCAGCCTCCCAAGTGCTGGGATTACAGGTGCGTACCACCGGAGCATGCATACCACCGGAGTTGGCGTCACAGTCTCATTTGTACAGCTGAGGGGCTCTGCCACTTTGGGTGAATTGCTCAGTCTAAGGTTTGGAAACTCCATAGTCATAGCTGTGTGTCATGGGCATATTCTGGGTGGATTCATGAGAAGTGGACCTTTGGTCAGAACACTCTTTTACTATGTGTGTGGAGTGTGTGTGTGTGCGCACATGGGTGCTGTCTGTGCGTAGGTGCAGACCAGAAGAGTCAGTGTCCTCTATGGCTCTCTGCCTATTTCTTAGAGGCAAGGCCTCTCCCTGGACAACTGGGGCTATAGGGACTGTCTCAAAAGAACACACACAAACAAAAGGACAGGGTGGGGAGGGTCACTGGACTCTTACCTGACATTCCAGATGCTCCTTCCTCTCTAAATGCTGGTGGCTTGGGAGTCTCAGTAGGTGCTAGTGTACATAAGCTGGGGAAGGTTAACTAAAGGGAACTCTAAAACATGGCTATGAGGGAGCTGTCATCCTTGCAGGGTGAAGCCTTTCCACAGCTGTTTTGGGCTTCCCTGTGCTCCTGTAGGTAGCCCCTCACCATGCTCTGTAACTAAGACCCATAACCTCACTGCTCCCCACGGTGAACTCAGGAGGAATCATGCTTTGGTTTGTCATTGGGACCTTGTGAAAGGATGCTGCTTGTTGTCTCTGGGGAAAGGAGTTTTTACAGCTGCAACCTTGCTTCAGGGTCTCTTCTAGAGCACGCTGGACGGAACTTTGGGGAACTATGCCGTGTGGGATCAAGCTCCTGCACTGTTCCAACAACCCAGGCCAAACCAGAATGGAGTCTTGTCCCGCGCTATCGTCTCGCCAGCAAGAACGACAC